TAGACTTGAAATCGTTAAAAAATACGCACCCCAAGGCATTAACTGGCAATTTATCCCACCAAGTGCTCCAAATATGGGATGTCTGTGGGAATCAGCTGTAAAAAGCTACAAACACACTTTAAAAAGTCGCTGGCACACACAAATTCAACTTTGAAGAGTTCGCTACATTATTAACCCGAATAGAAGCCGTTCTAAACTCACGGCCCTTCTCTGCGCTCTCGCAAGATCTCTCCGATTTCACTGCCCTCACCCCTGGTCATTTTCTTAAAGGAGCTCCACTTCTGGCAATACCCGAACTTGACGAGTAATCCTTATGGATGAATCGATGGAAACGAATGAAAATTCTCAATCATGAATTCAGTAGTAGATGAAAGGAAAATTATTTAAAAGACCAAACATCCAAACATACAAACTTTCACATTTATAATATTTATAAGATTATAATAATAATAATATTTATAAGACGATCTTGTTTAGCATTAAAGGTACCAACATCAAAAGAACAATGGTCTCAAATTCAAAACGATTTTGCTGATATCTAGCAGTTTCCTCACTGTTGTGGAGCTCTGGATGGGAAGCACGTCCTCATACAAAATCCACCACGCGGAGCCTCCGACTTCTTTGATTACAAAAGCACATATAGTGTCGTTCTATTTGCTGCTGTAGATGCACATTACCGTTTTTTATATATAGATGTCGGAACTAACGGAAGGATGAATGACTCCTTCATTTTTAAAAAATCACCGTCTTATATATCCATAGAGCAAAACTATTTAGATCTTCCTGAAAATGCAGTTTTTGTTGCAGACGACGCTTTTCCACTTACAACCAAAATTTTAAAACCGTACTCCAGGCATGAAGCACTGTCCCATAAAGAAAAAGTGTTTAATTACAGAAAAACAAAAAAACAGTCCTGAAACAATAATATACCTTACCAGTAACTAAATATATAGTTGACGTGCACATACTCGCTAAGTATTTGTTAAATTAATACATTAACAATAATATCAGATACATGAAATAGTAAGGATATACATTTAATTGCTTTAGTAAATCTGTATTTTTTCGTAAAAACGTTTTTAATAAACAAGAATTAAGTTCATACAATGCAATGTTTTGAATTAAGAAAAATATTGAATTACAAAGGTATTCATGTCTTACAGAAATATGTACGCAAAATCGTTTAGTTTTTAAATTTAATAAATACACAGTACAAATCTACAGAGACGTACTCAACAAACGCTATACATTATTAAAGAGAATGTCTCTCTTATAAAATTTATCGAACATGGTATTAATCCAGGGAGTCTGAGTCTTTTTAAGGAGAGTTAGAGATTTGAGATTTTGGCTGAAAGTGCAATAAGTCTATCGAAGATGTTATGTATAAGGTGACTTCCAATACAATTTCTGTCGTCATACTTCTTCAGTAAAGTTTAAGGGGGAATATTTTTCTGGAACATTTTAACCCTTTAACTCTTAGCGAATCGTATACTCCATTATTTTAAAGGTTTTGTTAAAGTTAGGGGGTCAAGATCTTCTACAAAAATATTACCCGCTAAAGTTTACTGCAGAAATCTGATTACAGAAATTGGTTTTGAAGTCGTTTAATCCACAGTGTTTTCAATAAATGAACTCCACTTTCTGCTAAAATGTAAAAAACTTTAACCCTCCATAAACAATTCCGATCCTCCTCTTTCATAATATACAAGATTGGTTTGTATGGAGTGACCAGTGTTGTACAGTGATACTGGAATCACAAAAGTTATTTATGCAGGTACAAATTAAAATTTTAATAGTTTACTCTAATCCACTATGTAAAGCTAGTTCATCTTCATATTTAGGCTTCTGTAGGTATTTAAAATGGTATTTATTTTAAATAAAAATAACAAAACTTATTTTTTTTCCGTTGTAAACAATTCGAGAAAAGTTTGAATAATGCAAATTTTCTATTTGATGTTTGAACTACAAAAATCACTTAAGTATAAAATTTTTAAAATCAAAAAGTTAAAATTAACACAGTACAATAAAATACAGTAACACAAATACAAACCCTACAATACTCCCCCCTTCTAGAGAATTAATGTTATTGTTGGAACACCCCAATGCAGAAAATTTGTCATCGCATTTTTCTTCGCTTGCCAATTATGTACTAACATATGTATGTTTATACATATGTACATATGTTCTCATCATTAGAACTACTTGGTTTCACTTTTCGTTGTCAAATTGTTCATCGGCTGCGAGCTCACGCCACAGCTCCATCGAAAACAGGTTCCGTAAACAACGACAAAAAGGGTTCAACATCACGCCACCTAACCAGCCACAGGTCACGTAGGCAAACAACCGCAACTATTCCTCCCACATGCCGTCACATAAAATCAACAGCCTATCAGTTTACCGCTCTTCAATTGCACAGCTAAACTGCTAGTACATAATTTGGACTTAGGTATTTGCTGATTAATTTGGAGAAAAACAATCGTCTTTAGTACGTCGTTGGATACAGTCCGTTCTTTCATCGCGCATTCTAAATTAATTCATTTTCGACTCACTATCGCTGTTAAGATTTTAAGAGTAAATAAATTAAATAATTAATTAGTTTTTCCATTGCAAATTTCGTGTTTTATTTGCATCTATAGCAAGTGGAAAAGCCCATTTGCTCGACCAAGGTCCTTCGAGCCGGATATTGGCTCCGCGTCTGATAACCCAAAAATTCACGCGTTAATTTTCGTGTCGCATAATTAAAGGCATCAAATCAAATTGTCGTCGTGGTATAAGAATTTGCCATCAATTAACATGACTGAGGAGTCAGGTGCAGTAACCCCCCCAAGAACAGACAGCAACATTCGCATTAAAATGCTACAACGGGACAAGTTAATCGGCCGAGTAGCAGATCTACGTGCAAACCTACAGCAATTTTTAAACTTGTCAGCATATCAGCTCGAGACAAAACTCGCGCTCAGTGAACACCATTTCAATGTCTTCGAGAAACTGCAGTCGGTCCTTAGATGAATCTCAAATCGGCCAGGAGCATCGCTCCGTTTTTGAAGATTCTTTCTGCAATGTCAAGAGTGCTATTGTCGTGCGTATGGCTGAAATGCACAAGGTTGAGGCACTCACCATCGTCGCCTCGTCATAGTCTGCCAAAACTGCAACTGATGAAATTCAGTGGCCACCATACCGAATGGTTAAACTTCTATAATATGTTCACCACCCTCGTCCACAAAAGTGCTGGTCTGAATGACGTCGAGAAATTTGAGTACCTGCGCTCATGTCTGACCCACAGCGCCTTTCGGCTCATTCAATCTTTAGAGGTTACCAGTGACAATTATAATCGCGCCATTGACTTGCTCATTAACAGATATGACAACAAAAGATACATTTTTCAGTCACACCTGCAGGCAATCTTCGACAACAAATCCTTTAAAGCTTCAAGTGCTTCTTTGCTACGAGAATTCATTGATTCCATAAATTCCCATCTTCGCGCGTTACAATCGCTGGCGTCACGCAGTCAAGTTGCTGACGGAATTTTGTTGAATTTTATTGTCGCTAAATTGGATCCCGAAATGCAAGTAAAATGGGAAGAATATGTCGCTACTAAGTGGGATAATTCGTCGTCATCTTCGCTTCAGTTACCAACATGGGATGATCTAGCTACCTTTATTGAGCGCCGCTGCCAGACGGTGAATATCATTGAAGTCAGCAGAAAGGCTACAGCTAAAGTGGCATCAGCTACCAAAGCACCCCTACCATTGAAGTCTAATACAACACTGGTGTCATCAGTAACCAACAAATGTTCATTATGCAACGAAGCGTCCTACGCCATGGACGCAATGCAGCGCTACAATATTGCAAAGAAGAATCATCTGTGCCTAAATTGTCTTGGAACGGGCCACACCTCTAGCAAGTGTCCATCCACACATCGTTGCCAACATTGCAAGGTGAGCCACCACACGCTTCTGCATCGACACCAGCCTCAGAGTTTGGAGATCACACAGCCTTCATCATCAACTGCGTTAAAGGCCAATATAGCCAGCGGTGACGTCATCCTTGCAACTGCCCTGGTTCAACTGTATACTAATCGTGGTATAAAACTAACCGTACGTGCACTGCTTGATTCATCATCCCAGCTGAATTTCGTAACGGAGCGTGTAGCTCAAATGCTCCAATTAGCACGCAGCAAAATCAATCCCGAAATAAGCGGTATTGGCGGTCTTAACAACTAAATCATACCAAGGTGGTTTTGTTGGTCTCCAATCATTGCACAATGGATTTTCTTCGATGCTAGAGATAGTCATATTACCAGCGATTTCCTCGCATCAACCCCATAAATTTATAGATGTAACAAATTGGGGAATATCAAAAAACATTAGTCTAGCTGATCGCACGTTTAACTGCCCTGGACCAATTGATCTGCTTATCGGGGCTGGGCTTTTCTTCGATATACTCTCGGTGGGTCAGATTAAGTTAGACAAACATCTTCCATCACTACAAAAAACGCAGCTGGGCTGGATCATAGCTGGCACTATTCATTCACGACTCTTGGTATCATCATCGACTCTGCTTAGTTCATCGCCACCCCTCATCCCTTCCAGCATACTTACCACAACAGCGCAGCCATCGTTAGATAGTCTTTTAGAGAAATTCTGGAAAATAGAAGATAGCTATCACTCTCGAAAGGTTGAGCGTAGGTTGGAAGAGGCCGAGTGTGAGACTTATTTCCAAAAAACNTCGGCACACATCGTTTTGTATTAATGGCCGACATAACCAAAATGTATCGGCAAATTATTGTGGATGATAGAGATGCGAAATATCAATGCATTCTGTGGAGAAACTCACCTGATGAGCAACTCGGCACTTACCAGTTGCGGACTGTCATTTACGGAACCAGTTGTGCCCCTTTTTTGGCAGTAAGATGCCTTCAGCAGTTAGCATAGGACAATGTTTCGACCAACCCGCTTGGGGCTGCAGTCACTTTACGCGACTTTTATGTTGACAACTTAATGACTGGGGCTGCAAATATCGAAGAAGTAATGGCCATCAAAACGGAAATCATCGACTTACTAGGTAGCGGAGGATTTCCTCTTCGGAAGTTTGCATCAAATAACGACAACATCATAGCTGACATACCTGAATCGGATAAGGAAGTAAATGTTAATATTGGTGACTTTTCATACATCAAGGCGCTACGACTCAAGTGGTCACCTCAAGACGATGTTTTCATGTTTTCGTATACGCCTTATGATCCACCTTCGTCGAAGGTAAGCAAACGCGTAATTCTTTCGAAAATTGCGACTTTCTTCGATCCGCTCGGATTATTAAATCCAAATATAGTTACTTGCAAACTGTTGATGCATGAGCTTTGGAAGCTCAAGCTATCGTGGGATGAAAGTGTTCCAATGTCAATCCACACCCAATGGACGTTTATTTGTCATCAGATTACATCGGTTAACAAAGTACGAGTGCCAAGGTTCGTACATTTCAACGTTGAAGCCCAACTACACGCTTTTGCAGACGCAAGCACAAGGGCATACGGCGCATGCATTTACGCAGTATCACATTCGGGTGGGACAACGCATGCATCGCTTATATGTGCTAAATCTAGGGTGGCACCAACCAAGGAGATAACTCTCCCTAAATTGGAACTCTGCGCTGCTGTTCTTCTAGCAGAGTTGGTACAATCGGTAGCAACTGCTTTCTCTGCAGGCCCTAGCAATATACACTGTTGGTCAGACTCTACCATTGTATTGTCGTGGATACAGGGTGAACCAACACGATGGACAACATTCGTTGCCAATAGGGTGATCAAAATCCAGCAGCTTACAGCAAACTACACTTGGCATCATGTGCCCTCAGAGGAGAATCCCGCAGACATAGTGTCACGTGGAGCCAAGGTGCATGATCTCATCGGCAACAATCTCTGGTTCCACGGACCAATTTTTCTGCAGCAGGCAGAATCGAGGTGCCCCGAAAATCCAATGAATAATATGGAGACGTTGCCAGAGCGGCGCAAAAAACATCACGCTCTGCTGACAGCGCATTCAGAAGCATAATTGCAAGTCATAAATATGCCAACAACTACTATAAACTTCTTCGCATCGTCGCTTATGTTCAGCGCTTCATATCACGCCAACTATGCACTCGGGGTCAATTTCCCCAGAAGAGTTGGATGCCGCCTTAATGCTCGTTTGTCAGTACATACAAAGACAATCGTTTGCTGCTGAATATAAGGATTTTCAGGAAGGTCGAGTAAGTCGACAGTCCAATTTCAATCAACTTTCGCCATTTATACATAACGCGTTGATTCGAGTAGGTGGAAGAATAAACAACTCTTCGCTACCTTTCGATGCCAAGCATCGACTTCTATAATAGGTTCACCGCCCTCGTCCACAATAATGCTGGTCTGAATGACGTCGAGAAATTTGAGTACCTGCGCTCATGTCAGACCCACAGCGCCTTTCGGCTCATTCAATCTTTGGAGGTTACCAGGGACAATTATAATCGCGCCATTGACTTGCTCATTAACAGATATGACAACATAAGATACATTTTTCAGTCACACCTGCAGGCAATCTTCGACAACCAATCCTTTAAAGCTTCAAGTGCTTCTTTGCTACGAGAATTCATCGATTCCATAAATTCCATCTTCGCGCGTTACAATCGCTGGCGTCACGCAGTCAAGTTGCTGACGGAATTTTGTTGAATTTTATTGTCGCTAAATTGGATCCCGAAATGCAAGTAAAATGGGAAGAATATGTCGATACTAAGTGGGATAATTCGTCGTCATCTTCGCTTCAGTTACCAACATGGGATGATCTAGCTACCTTTATTGAGCGCCGCTGCCAGACGGTGAATATCATTGAAGTCAGCAGAAAGGCTACAGCTAAAGTGGCATCAGTTACCAAAGCACCCCTACCATTGAAGTCTAATACAACACTGGTGTCATCAGTAACCAACAAATGTTCATTATGCAACGAAGCTGTCCTACATTCACAATTTAAATGTGAAAAATTTAACGCCATGGACGCAATGCAGCGCTACAATATTGCAAAGAAGAATCATCTGTGCCTAAATTGTCTTGGAATGGGCCACACCTCTAGCAAGTGTCCATCCACACATCGTTGCCAACATTACAAGATGAGCCACCACACGCTTCTGCATCGACACCAGCCTCAGAGTTTGGAGATCACACAGCCTTCATCATCAACTGCGTTAAAGGCCAATATAGCCAGCGGTGACGTCATCCTTGCAACTGCCCTGGTTCAACTGTATACTAATCGTGGTATAAAACTAACCGTACGTGCACTGCTTGATTCAGCATCCCAGCTGAATTTCGTAACGGAGCGTGTAGCTCAAATGCTCCAATTAGCACGCAGCAAAATCAATACCGAAATAAGCGGTATTGGGGCCTTAACAACTAAATCATACCAAGGTGGTTTTGTTGGTCTCCAATCATTGCACAATGGATTTTCTTCGATGTTAGAGATAGTCATATTACCATCGATTTCCTCGCATCAACCCCATAAATTTATCGATGTAACAAATTGGGGAATACCAAAAAACATTAGTCTAGCTGATCGCACGTTTAACTGCCCTGGACCAATTGATCTGCTTATCGGGGCTGGGCTTTTCTTCGATATACTCTCGGTGGGTCAGATTAAGTTAGACAAACATCTTCCATCACTACAAAAAACGCAGCTGGGCTGGATCATAGCTGGCACTATTCATTCACGACTCTTGGTATCATCATCGACTCTGCTTAGTTCATCGCCACCCCTCATCCCTTCCAGCATACTTACCACAACAGCGCATCCATCGTTAGATAGTCTTTTAGAGAAATTCTGGAAAATAGAAGATAGCTATCACTCTCGAAAGGTTGAGCGTAGGTTGGAAGAGGCCGAGTGTGAGACTTATTTCCAAAAAACAACATCGCGTTGCCATGTTAACAAATAAATTTATTGTTCGCTTACCCTTTTCGACAAGTCCAGGTAAGCTTGGTCATTCATACGAAATTACTCGTCGTAGATTTTGGTCAGTGGAGAAGAGATGGGCACTCGGTCGAATCATTGAAACCATGGCTAGATCTGATGGCTTAGTACGAGTTGTCATGGTAAGGACAGCTGATGGCGTGGTCAAACGACAATAACAAAGGTTTGCAAGTTACCAATTGAGTCTTCAACTCACCACTAACAACAAACAATTCATCGCTACCACTACAACAATCATTGATTCGTCGTTATTATTCGATTAAAAACACAGTTTTCAAGAGGGGAGGATGTTGGAACACCCCAATGCAGAGAAGTTTGTCATCGCATTTTTCTTCGCTTGCCCACTGTATTGGCATGCATTATGTACTAACATAGCCGTCATCACTGCCTATACATTGCACATATTTACATATGTATGTTTATACATATGTACATATGTTCTCATCACTAGAACTACTTGGTTTCACTTTTCGTTGTCAAATTGCTCATCGGCTGCGAGCTCACGCCACAGCTCCATCGAAAACCGGTTCCGTAAACAACAACAAAAAGGGTTCAACATCACGTCACCTAACCAGCCACAGGTCACGTAGGCAAACAACCGCAACTATTCCTCCCACTTGCCGTCGCATAAAATCAACAGCCTATCAGTTTACCGCTCTTCAATTGCACAGCTAAACTGCTAGTACATAATTTGGACTTAGGTATTTGCTGATTAATTTGGAGAAAAACAATCGTCTTTAGTACGTCGTTGGATACAGTCCGTTCTTTCATCGCGCATTGTAAATTAATTCATTTTCGACTCACTATCGCTGTTAAGATTTTAAGAGTAAATAAATTAAATAATTAATTAGTTTTTCCATTGCAAATTTCGAGTTTTATTTGCATCTATAGCAAGTGGAAAAGCCCATTTGCACGACCAGTTATATAAATAAAAAGTAAAAGTATTTGTGTTTGTTTCTGGTATTAACTCTGTTTCAATGACTGCTGGTTTTAGTCTGTCTATCGGAATTGTTTTAACCTCCTTATCTACTTCAAGTTTGAAAAAATTTTTTGCTTTTTCTACAACATTATAAGGTCCTTCGTATGGTTGTTGCAATGATCTTTTATTAATAACACGCAAAAAACAAATTTACAAGTCCCCAAATCCTTTGGTATATATACACCAGTATCAGAATTTTGATTAGGTTTTAAATTTGATTTAACATTTTTAAAATGTTCCCGTAAATTGCCTAAGACTTCAGTTGGGGAAAAATTGTCTTCACATGGAACCACAAGTTCACCGGGTAGGCGTAAATTTTGCCCAAAAACCATCTCAGATGATGTGGCTGAAATACTTTCTTTATGCAACGATCGTAAACCCAGAAGTATTATCGGGAGTTCATCATACCAATTGTTGGTTCCATTTCTAGCCATTAACGTAGCTTTTAACTGTCTGTGAAACCGTTCTACCATTCCATTCCCTTGAGGATGATATGCAGAAGTTGTAACGTGATGACTACCAAGCAAATTTGTTAGTTCCGAAAACAGTTTTGACATATGTAGTGATTCTTAACGCTACCCCAAAACGTTAAACATATTCTCTAAAAAATTTATTTGTATTAAATGTATCTAAATATCTAAATGAATATGATAAAATCTACTTTTGGGAATCGGAACTTTAATTACTGGAGATTTAGTGTGACGATTAACCTTCGATTTTTGACAATTTATACATTCTTTCGACCAAATATTAATTTCTTTGTGTATTGTTGGCCAATAGTACTCTTTAATAATTAGACAACGTGTAGCTTTTGTACCAGGATGTGTAATGTCATGTTACATATTAAACACTGTCTTGCGTAAACTATTTGGAACAAATGGCCTAGGATTCTCACCTGTCATTTCACACCAAATATTAAAATTTAAAAGTGGAATTTGAATTAATTTAAGGTTATGTGATGTGTCTCCAGATTTTAATGTGTTTAGTTCCTCGTCCTGTTCTTGTTCATTTTGTAAAACTTTGAAATTCAGTTCTGTATCCTTAATTGCAACAACTTCGAAAGCTCGAGATAATGTGTCAGCTATAATGTTTTCCTGTCCTTTAATATATCGTATGTCATTAGTAAATTGTGCAATGAATTCCATATATCTAGTTTGTCTAGGACTACGTTCGGTTTTTGAACTCAAAGCAAATATCAAAGGCTTGTGATCTGTAATGTTCAAATAAATAGCTAGCAATATAAAAGCTTTATGCAAGAATATATTGAATTGAATCACATGGCCTTAGTACAACCATGTGAATTATCATCGAAGGCTGGTACGTATATCCCCCATCATTGTGTGGTAAAACTGGATAGTTCAACGGCAAGACTGCGGGTGGTATTTGACGCCTCCTGTCACACGTCAAATGGGGTTTCGCTGAATGACATTCTTCGAAGTGGGCCTACATTGCAAGATGACATATTCACTATTCTTTTTCGCTTCGGCACACATCGTTTTGTATTAATGGCCGACATAACCAAAATGTATCGGCAAATTATTGTGGATGATAGAGATGCGAAATATCAATGCATTCTGTGGAGAAACTCACCTGATGAGCAACTCGGCACTTACCAGTTGCGGACTGTCACTTACGGAACCAGTTGTGCCCCTTTTTTGGCAGTAAGATGCCTTCAGCAGTTAGCATACGACAATGTTTCGACCCACCCGCTTGGGGCTGCAGTCACTTTACGCGACTTTTATGTTGACAACTTAATGATTGGGGCTGCAACTATCGAAGAAGTAATGGCTATCAAAACGGAAATCATCGACTTACTAGGTAGCGGAGGATTTCCTCTTCGGAAGTTTGCGTCAAATAACGACATCATAGCTGACATACCTGAATCGGATAAGGAAGTAAATGTTATTATTGGTGGCTTTTCAAACATCAAGGCGCTAGGACTCAAGTGGTCACCTCAAGACAATGTTTCCATGTTTTCGTAAACGCCTTATGATCCACCTTCGTCGAAGGTAAGCAAACGCGTAATTCCTTCGAAAATTGCAACTTTCTTCGATCCGATCGGATTATTAAATCCAATTATAGTTACTTGCAAACTGTTGATGCAAGAGCTTTGGAATCTCGAGCTATCGTGGAATGAAAGTGTTCCAATGTCAATCCACACCCAATGGACGTACATTTGTCATCAGATTACATCGGTTAACAAATTCCGAGTGCCAAGGTTTGTACATTTCAACGTTGAAGCCCAACTACACGCTTTTGCAGACGCAAGCACAAGGGCATACGGCGCATGCATTTACGCAGTATCACATTCTGGTGGGACAACGCATGCATCGCTTATATGTGCTAAATCTAGGGTGGCACCAACCAAGGAGATGACTCTCCCTAAATTGGAACTCTGCGCTGCTGTTCTTCTAGCAGAGTTGGTACAATCGGTAGCAACTGCTTTCTCTGCAGGCCCTAGCAATATACATTGTTGGTCAGACTCTACCATTGTATTGTCGTGGATACAGGGTGAACCAACACGATGGACAACATTCGTTGCCAATAGGGTGATCAAAATCCAGCAGCTTACAGCAAACTACACTTGGCATCATGTGCCCTCAGAGGAGAATCCCGCAGACATAGTGTCACGTGGAGCCAAGGTGCATGATCTCATCGGCAACAATCTCTGGTTCCACGGACCAATTTTTCTGCAGCAGGCAGAATCGAGGTGCCCCGAAAATACAATGAATAATATGGAGACGTTGCCAGAGCGGCGCAAAAAACATCACGCTCTGCTGGCAGCGCAGTCAGAAGAGATAATTGGAAGTCATAAATATGCCAACAACTACTATAAACTTCTTCGCATCGTCGCTTATGTTCAGCGCTTCATATGACGCCTTCGTCGTTCACCAACTATGCACTCGGGGTCGATTGCCGCAGAAGAGTTGGATGCCGCCTTAATGCTCGTTTGTCAGTACATACAAAGACAATCGTTTGCTGCTGAATATAAGGATTTGCAGGAAGGTCGAGTAAGTCGACAGTCCAATTTCAATCAACTATCGCCATTTATACATAACGCGTTGATTCGCGTAGGTGGAAGAATAAACAACTCTTCGCTACCTTTCGATGCCAAGCATCCAATTCTGCTACCAAGGACACATCCCTTCGTATACACTATCGTCGATCACCTTCATCGTCGTCATTTGCACGCTGGTTGTCAAACGTTGGTAAGCATCTTGCGTGACAAATTTTGGGTGGTTAATGCTAGATGCATTATAAGGCAAGTTGTACATAATTGCATAATATGCTATCGCAACAAGCCTCTGCTGCATGATCAAATAATAGGCTCATTGCCACAAGAACGAGTTGAGGCCGCATTCCCTTTCGCAACAACTGGGATAGATTACTGTGGACCATTTTCAATAACTCCACAATCAATGGGTAGAGGCCTTATCAAGGTCTACTTGGCAGTGTTTATCTGCTTTAATACGAAGGCAGTGCATTTGGAACTGGTCCCAAATCTAAGTACGATGGCGTTTATTTCTGCACTCAAGCGATTTATCGCTCGACGAGGTCAGTGCAATACAATCTTCTCGGATAATGCAACCAATTTTGTTGAGGCCAATCGAGAGCTCAAGGAACTTTTGGCACTGTTTGCTTCACAGCAACACATCGCTTCAGTGGAAACATTCATGGCCAAGGAAGGATTAAATTGGAAATTTATTCCCCCAAGGTCACCACATTTCGGCGGGCTTTGGGAAAGTGCGGTGAAGCAGGCCAAGAATTACTTACATCGCACCGTGGGATCTCACATTCTTAGTTTTGATGAGCTACATACAGTATGCTGCCAAGTGGAGGCCATGATAAACAGTCGTCCTCTCACACCGATTTCAACCAATCCTGATGATCTTCGAGTGATCACCCCGGCACATTTTTTGACCGGCCGCATACTAAACACCATTCCGGAGCCATCACTTTCTCACGTCAATATGGGTACACTAAAACGGTTTTAAATGATACAAGCCATCCAGCAACAATTTTGGAAGCGATAGCACTCAGAATATTTAAAGGAGCTGCAGCATAGAGGTAAATCGCAAACATGGTACTGATCAAGGATGAAAATACACCACCTCTAAAATGGGCACTCGGTCGAATCATTGAAACCATGTCTAGATCTGATGGCTTAGTACGAGTTGTCATGGTAAGGACAGCTGATGGCGTGGTCAAACGAGCAATAACAAAGGTTTGCAAGTTACCAATTGAGTCTTCAACTCACCACTAACAACAAACAATTCATCGCTACCACTACAACAATCATTGATTCGTCGTTATTATTCGATTAAAAACACAGTTTTCAAGAGGGGAGGATGTTGGAACACCCCAATGCAGAGAAGTTTGTCATCGCATTTTTCTTCGCTTGCCCACTGTATTGGCATGCATTATGTACTAACATAGCCGTCATCACTGCCTATACATTGCACATATTTACATATGTATGTTTATACATATGTACATATGTTCTCATCACTAGAACTACTTGGTTTCACTTTTCGTTGTCAAATTGCTCATCGGCTGCGAGCTCACGCCACAGCTCCATCGAAAACCGGTTCCGTAAACAACAACAAAAAGGGTTCAACATCACGTCACCTAACCAGCCACAGGTCACGTAGGCAAACAACCGCAACTATTCCTCCCACTTGCCGTCGCATAAAATCAACAGCCTATCAGTTTACCGCTCTTCAATTGCACAGCTAAACTGCTAGTACATAATTTGGACTTAGGTATTTGCTGATTAATTTGGAGAAAAACAATCGTCTTTAGTACGTCGTTGGATACAGTCCGTTCTTTCATCGCGCATTGTAAATTAATTCATTTTCGACTCACTATCGCTGTTAAGATTTTAAGAGTAAATAAATTAAATAATTAATTAGTTTTTCCATTGCAAATTTCGTGTTTTATTTGCATCTATAGCAAGTGGAAAAGCCCATTTGCACGACCAGTTATATAAATAAAAAGTAAAAGTATTTGTGTTTGTTTCTGGTATTAATTCTGTTTCAATGACTGCTGGTTTTAGTCTGTCTATCGGAATTGTTTTAACCTCCTTATCTACTTCAAGTTTGAAAAAATTTTTTGCTTTTTCTACAACATTATAAGGTCCTTCGTATGGTTGTTGCAATGATCTTTTATTAATAACACGCAAAAAACAAATTTACAAGTCCCCAAATCCTTTGGTATATATACACCAGTATCAGAATTTTGATTAGGTTTTAAATTTGATTTAACATTTTTAAAATGTTCCCGTAAATTGCCTAAGACTTCAGTTGGGGAAAAATTGTCTTCACATGGAACCACAAGTTCACCGGGTAGGCGTAAATTTTGCCCAAAAACCATCTCCGATGATGTGGCTGAAATACTTTCTTTATGCATCGATCGTAAACCCAGAAGTATTATCGGGAGTTCATCATACCAATTGTTGGTTCCATTTCTAGCCATTAACGTAGCTTTTAACTGTCTGTGAAACCGTTCTACCATTCCATTCCCTTGAGGATGATATGCAGAAGTTGTAACGTGATGACTACCAAGCAAATTTGTTAGTTCCGAAAACAGTTTTGACATATGTAGTGATTCTTAACGCTACCCCAAAACGTTAAACATATTCTCTAAAAAATTTATTTGCAACCACTTCCGCTGAAATGTCATTTAATGCGCTTCCGCTGAAATGTATCTAAATATCTAAATGAATATGATAAAATCTACTTTTGGGAATCGGAACTTTAATTACTGGAGATTTAGTGTGACGATTAACCTTCGATTTTTGACAATTTATACATTCTTTCGACCAAATATTAATTTCTTTGTGTATTGTTGGCCAATAGTACTCTTTAATAATTAGACAACGTGTAGCTTTTGTACCAGGATGTGTAATGTCATGTTACATATTAAACACTGTCTTGCGTAAACTATTTGGAACAAATGGCCTAGGATTCTCACCTGTCATTTCACACCAAATATTAAAATTTAAAAGTGGAATTTGAATTAATTTAAGGTTATGTGATGTGTCTCTAGATTTTAATGTGTTTAGTTACTCGTCCTGTTCTTGTTCATTTTGTAAAACTTTGAAATTCAGTTCTGTATCCTTAATTGCATCAACTTCGAAAGCTCGAGATAATGTGTCAGCTATAATGTTTTCCTGTCCTTTAATATATCGTATGTCATTAGTAAATTGTGCAATGAATTCCATATATCTAGTTTGTCCCGGACTACGTTCGGTTTTTGAACTCAAAGCAAATATCAAAGGCTTGTGATCTGTAATGTTCAAATAAATAGCTAGCAACTCCCTATCAAATGCACTGTACTTAACTTCGGATGGAGAAAGTTTCTTAGAAAAGAAAGCTAGTGGCTCTGATTTGTTATCAAACGTTTGATGTATGACACCACCAATTGGCGTATTAGATGCATCCACATTTAAAGAGAGTTTGGCGTCTTTGTTAAAATGATTTAACAATATCGTAGACGCAAACTTTTATTTAATATATTCAAAGGCTTTATTTGTTGTGTCATCCCAAATTAAGGACTTGTTACGTTTCTTAGTTGTTCGATTGATTAAATCGTAGATAACTGCCGTAAACTCAGCTAATTTGGGTACATATCCATGGTAGTAGTTAACCATGCCAATAAACTCCTGCGCCTGTTTAGTATATTTAGGACGTTCAAAACTACGAATAGCTATCACTTTTTCATCAGAGGGTCTAATTCCCGCCCCAGAAATATTATGTCCTAAAAAGTCAACACTTGTGTAGAAAACAGAATCGGCTTCTTTACCAATTAAAGAAGAGTTTTATTTCAAATATAAATACAAAGTTGAAGTAAATCGAAACTAATGCTATTGAGAGATTTTTCGCAGATGTCGCGATTGAACGTCGGCTTTTCTCGCTATCCCACACACGACTACTCGTTTTTGCCAGCTCGGCCTTTCCTGGCTTTCGTCCTTTAGGACGAC